ATAGATAGATAGATATATAGATAGAGAGATAGAGAGATAAATAGATAGATAGATAGATAAATAGATAGATAGAGAGAGAGAGAGATAGAGAGATAGATAGATAGATAGAGAGATAGATAGAGCGATAGATAGAGAGATAGATAGAGATAGATAGATAGATAGATAGATAGATAGATAGATAGATAGATAGACAGACAGATAGAGTGAGTGAGTAAAAACGCACGCATGGCCGACAAAATCGTCAATAGTACACTAAGTATACATGATATTACATATACACGTATTATTGTTGCAACACAGCAATACTATCAATAACTTGAACACCCAGCCATTGTCCTATGACGTCATCACGCTCTGGGCCCTGCGTCATAAGAGTTGGCCCGGCTTGTGTTCCGGCTGGACGGACCGTCCTTGGCGCTTGTCTTGGCCAGGGATTGCTGGTAGCTGCAAGCAGACACATAGAAATTAGTGCTGGGAGGATGAGTTCCCGTTTTTTCAAAGATAGGAATCGTAGGAATCGACTCCGAACCCAATTGCTTATTTTCTAATGATGTGATTTTTTCCCCCGGTGGTTACCTGGTTGGCTCCGAACGTCTTCATGATTTAGGATAACTTTGATTTCGGAACACTACGAAGCATCAACTTTTATTTTTCAAAAATAGATTCTTTAAAAAAAGAAGATTTTAATGATAAAATCGTTTGCTTACGTAAAAGGGAGAAGGAACTTTACATCCGTAGTATTAATCGTGGTAATCGGTTCCGGAATCGACTCTTCGCCCAGCTCTAATTTAGAAATGTTTCACGACGCGGTGGAATCAGGCGCTCGTCAATTTTTGAGCATTTGGAGTTATTGGTATCATCTGGAGGCTGATTTATTTGCCTTGCTTTCAATGAAATTAACATCCATCTATCTTGAATAGAACCTACGATATTCGCGATTGAAGGAAGTGAGTTTGCCTGGTTTCAGTGGTGAAATTAGCGAGAAAATGGCCGCCAAAGTTTGATAACTTCAATAGCTAAAGAGTCCGTTGAAAACAGGAAAATGACAAATTTTATGCCTTTAATCTATGTTTTTCGTTAAAATTCAGATGGAAATGAGTTTTTATATGGAATTAAAAGAGGTTGAGTCAACAACAAAAAATTCGATAAAAATTTCCTAACTGTTGGAAAAATGCCTATTTTTCTGATTTGTGTATTTTGACGAGAGCCTGATTTCACTATGTCATGCTGCCTCACAAATAACGAACGTAACGAGGGGCTGATTAGGAGATTGTATTGGGTTGGCTTGATAACGGCTAATTTTCGCCTAGAAGGAGAGATGAGTAAAGAGAGGTATATGAAAATAAAATAACTGTCATTTTAGTGCTAGGGAAAAAACAACCCACCAACAATACTGATTCGATGGATAGTAATAACAGACGGAGAGTAAAAATGTTTGCGAGATGAAATGCTTAAGAAGAGCGGTCAACAAAACAAGAAGAGACCAAATTAAAAATGAAGTCATAAGGGACACCGTGGGAGCAACACCAGTCCTACCACACATTGAAAAACAAAAGGTCAAGTGCTTCGGACACCTCACGCGGATGCCCTCAAACCATCCAGCTCTGAGAGCATACAACACTAAATATTCTGGATGGAGAGCCAGAGGAAGACCAAGGCGTCGATGGAGTGAATCTGTGGCAGACACCCTTAGAGATCATGGGATGTCCCTCTTACAGGCCACACGACCTGCTGCAGACAGACGCCTGTGTCTCCCCGCGACACCCCAGGGTACAAGCGGAAGAAAAAAGTAAAGTAACAGTAAGAGTAAACATGTGCGACCTGACAATGACACCCTCCAACGACTCATCGGGGAGGGAGGGTGGCTGGTTGGTGGGTGCTCTGGTGCGGTTTGCTCCTTCTTCCCTATCAAACGCCTATCATCCTTATCTACCTTCCTTTTTTATGTTTGTTAATCGCTTGTAACACCTCTAATCTTCTGGCGCTCAAATGACCTTATGCTGTTGCGAGCGCCGTAAAACCTCTACTAAAACAAACAAACAAGGGGAGGGAGGTCTGGTTAAATAACGATGCTGAAAGAGAAGAATGAGCAGACAATTTTTTTCCCAATTATCGCACATTTCGCCCAGACATTCCGTAGGTCAAAGCCCCTGAAATAGTGAACAAAATGGAAGAAGGAGGAAACACAGCAGAGAACCTCTAAATTTGAGAACGGTGGAATGAAGAAAGCAATGGTCGATGAAAACATGCAGGGCAAACGGTTAGTGCTTTTGTCTCTTATTCTATTGAGTGAGAAACATCAATCCCAAGGGTGGACTAGTTGCGAAAATTGGACAATTGTACAAGACGCTACCGGTATCTGTACCGGTTTTTCTTATAATATTTATATTCTGACTGTTCCATTTGGATAAACGACAGGGTAAGTATTCACATCGTCAAATTTATATTCTGACTGTTCCATTTGGATAAACGAAAGGGTAAGCATTCACATCGTCAAATTTATATTCTGATTATTCCATTTGGATAAACAAAAGGGTAAGTATTCACATCGTCAAATTTATATTATTCTGACTGTTCCATTTGGATAAACGAAAGGGTAAGTATTCACATCGTCAAATTTATATTATTCTGACTGTTCCATTTGGATAAACGAAAGAGTAAGCATTCACATCGTCAAATTTATATTCTGACTGTTCCATTTGGATAAACGAAAGGGTAAGTATTCACATCGTCAAATTTATATTATTCTGACTGTTC